ATCCGACTTTGGCGATACCTTTTGCTCTTTCTTTTTTTTGGGGCCTTTGCTTTACGAAAAGCTTCCATAGCAAAATAGCAAAGGACACGACACGACGAGTGTGACTCTCACTCTCTCGTGCGTCCCAAGCGACACAGCACAGGCTCGAAGAAAGTTGGAACCTTTGCGGAGAAAGAGGGAAGAAGAAGGACGAGGGAAGGTCCGGCCACCAGCACAGCACAGCACAGCACGGCCGCAGCCATGGCCGATTCGAGGGTGGAGACGCTGTCGCGGCTCGCCCAGTGGAGGATCGACAGCTTCGGACCCTCTTCTTACAAAAAGTCGGAACCTTTCAAGATGGGCATCTGGAACTGGTAGGTGGGTGGGTGGGGGACTCCATCGATCGAATTCGCCGATTCCCGCACCTCCCTTTTGAGCGGCTCGTACCCATTCGGCTGAACTTTGCTGCCTCTCTCTCTCTTTCTGGGCAGGCACTTGTCGGTGGAGAGGAATCGCTATCTGTACGTGCGCCTGTTCCCCGAGCTCTCCAAGATTTCTAAGGAACAACCGCCCCTGGCGCGATTCGTTGTGCGCGTCTCGGTCGCTGGTGCTGTCCGTAAACTGTTCACTTCTCAAGGTAACGTCTTTTCTTTCAAGCTGATGATTCTGTCGTTCTGGGTCTCCGGGGGAGATTCCTGAATGCTTGATGATTTGCTTTTTCTTGTTGTTGTTTTGTTCCCGCTTGTTTCTGGGTAATGTATTGGGTTTCAAGATTTCTTGGACCTGTTGATATACTGTCGATATCAGTGAGGTGAAATCTGGTGTATTAAAAGGGGAGAAGAAAAAGGGTTGACATTTTTTTAACTTTTGAAGAAATCGAATTGATCTTTTGGGTAATTTCGCTGTTTGTGTTTGGTGTGTTTAAGGGCTATCTGTTTTTAGGGGATCGTCAATGCTGAAACTTTTCTGTAATATGCTTCTCATTCCATATTGAAGAGCTCAGTTTTTGTCTTTTCTCTTTTTTGGAAGAGGTGGGGGGTTGGGTGTGTGTGTGTGCGTGGGTGACGAAACAGAAAGTTCACCTGCAAGGTGAAACAGCCTAATGCAAATTTACCCTTCTCTGGCCTTCCAAAGTTGCATAGGATGGTGGAACTAGAAAGCTCGCTCGTAGCCCTGAGTAGCTTTTCATAGATTTCAATCTGGTGATTTCAGTTCGATGTTGCTTGCTGTGCTGGTGGCAGTTGAAGCTAATTTGTCAGAGTTTCGGGTCTACATCGAATCATTTCTAGCTAGGCTAGTAAGAAATGGTTGTCTAATCCGCATTTGTATGATTTCCTTCTTGCTCCTTCCGTCCATACTGTGATTTGCATGATCGAGCATGCATTACTGGGTCTATATAAACTGGAACCAGAGTTCCAAGGCAATAAAAAGGCTACTCTGACATGCAATATTTCCCGAGCACAGCAGCAAGCAATAATTGCACGATCTTGAGAGGAAACCGCCACGTCAGACGACATAGATATGGATGAAACGGACCAATGTTCTTTGCTCTTTTTTAGTGATTTTGATCATGATCCAATTGGTGCAATGTCATATACTCAACTGTTGGAGAAATGATACTAAGGTTACATGAAAAAGTCTTTCTTGGCAATAACAGGCCTGTGATCTCAAATTTCAATATACTGCTGAGTGTAGATGCTATTTCTCTGAGAACTCTTTAATAATAGGTTGGTTCAGCTATATCTTTGTTCTAATTGTCTTGCCTATTTAATTTCGGCTGCAGTATACGACAGATTACTTCGGACATGTGATGACTTTGGTTGGTCTATTGATTGTGCCTTTCATGGACGTTGCGTCGTCGATGTTGAGTTTCTGGATCTGAAGATTTGCCCATTGAATGTGAGATTTTTTCGATAATCACTTAAATCTTGTAGCATGTTGGGTTTGTACGGCTTTATAAGAATTTCTGAACTATGTTAAAAGCATAACAAATTTGCTGTTGGTTTATTCTTTTCTTAAGAATCAGAAGTATCTTTTAAAGGAGATGTATCATAACTATTGTTGAATTTGCAGATATTTGCCAAGTTTGCTTCATTACCTCTTCTACTATATAATTATTTATATCATTTAAGTGCCTATAAAAGAATTATATCATTTAAAAGAGCTATATATGAAGAAAAAGAATATCTTGAAATATCATTTCTGAAGGGCTAATTCCAAAAAAAAGCACCAACTTTACCTTGAGTGACAATTTTGGCTCAAACTTTTTTTTGTCTCAATAAAAATCACCAACTTTTACTCGAGTCTCAAATCTTGCCCCCGTGGTGTGAATTTTTCAAGTTGTTCGGGCCGGATTTGGGATTTAAGTAAAAATTGATGATTTTTTATGGGACAAAAAAAAGTTCGGGCTGGAATTGTCACTCAACGTAAAGTTGGTGCTCTTTTTTGGAAAAAGGGCCATTTCGGAAATATAAAAGAGAGTAATTTGATGATGTAGCTTAACTTTTTTGGCGTTCTAATTTTGCTCTTTTGCTAATTAACCATCAGGGAGGGGAGCCCACTCCTGTATGGCCCGGAGATGGAAGTGGGTTAATGCAATCTGTGGCAACTCAAAGGACTCTCCATTGCCTCTCACGAATGCTCGAAGAAGCCATACACTCCGACATCACCATCAATACATCTGACGGCTCTTTGATGGCCCACAAGGCCATCTTATCCGCAAGCTCTCCAGTTTTCCAAAGCATGTTCCGTCACGACCTAAAGGAAAAAGAGTCTTCCACGATCTTCATCGAAGACATGTCCCTCGAGTCCTGCACGGCCCTGTTGAATTACTTGTACGGATGCATAAAGCAAGAGGATTTCTGGAAGCATCGTCTCGCGCTTCTTGGGGCAGCCAATAAATATGGGATCACGGATCTAAAAGATGCATGCGAGGACAGCCTCTTGGAAGACATTAGTTCGAACAACGTCCTCGAGAGGCTCCAGGAGGCTTGGCTGTATCAGCTGGACAAGCTTAAGAAGGGGTGCTTGATGTTCCTGTTTGAGTTTGGGAAGGTATACGACGTTAGAGAGGAGATGAATAACTTTTTCAGACAGGCGGATAGGGAATTGATGTTGGAGATGTTTCAGGAGTTGCTTACTGCATGGAAACCCGCATGAGGTATTGCATAAGTTTTTACTGGTAGTACATTCTTGCCCTAGAAATTGTATATACCGGTGTGGATCGAAGTTACAGTGGTTCGCAGGTATCTGATGGTAACTGCGAAGAAAGGTCACTGATGTGTCTGAGCCGCCTAGGGGTTGATCCGAGACAGTGACGTGTTTTACGCTTTTTTAAGTGCTTATTATGGCAGTCATAATCTCAGTTATCAACTGAGAGATCTTGGCAATGTAACGAACTAGTATACATATGTGCAGTTCATTAGTATGGGTGTGTTCTTGGATGTTGAGGACTGTTGTGTGCACTGGGCAATTTCTGAAGAAAGTCTTCATGTAGATGAATTTCTTGGATGTTGCAGATCACGTTGCTGGCTAAGCAAAAAGAGATCTGTCTGAACCGGAAATCAGCTACCAAACTTGAGGTATTTCCGGATCAGTTGGCGGGGCTGAACTGTTCTAGCCATTTGTTGTTACGAGTGCAATGTGATCAACTCAATATCGAAAGATCCAAGTTCGCAAGCCACGACCTCCGGGCGACACGGAGGGAGCGGTGAAAGACGGGGACAAGAAGTTCAAACTCGCGGTATCGAGCGGCGATTGTGAGGAACAGAAGGGGAAGCGAGTACCGGTAATAACGAATGGAAAATCACGACTCATTAAAAACTAAAAGCTAAATTTGGTTATGCTAATAGACTCGAAAGATAGAGATGAGGGCATTTTGTGAATCGGGTCGAATGCCTAATTTCCTAAAAAAAACTCGAATCTGTAAAGAAAATATTCAGTGATTTCTAATCACCACGTCAATTTATGTGTCTTGCGTTCTTCACTTGAAAGTCGACATGTGTCTTGTGAAGCACTATTTTCTCTCTCCTATGATTGGTTGGTGAGGAAAAATAATAATAACTGCTCACATTTATTGCCTGCAGGCACTCTCTCTCCTCTGTGAGGTGAAAGATAAGATCCTCTTTGCCTCTTTCGACTGCTACAAAGCTTCCATTCTCTCTTCCTCTCCCGAGGCCAGTTTTGATTTCGTTCCGAATTTTTTTTCGTCTAAAAGCAAAAATTGTCGAAATAAATTTGGGATTATATCTAAAGTTGAGATTTTTTTAAACGATAAAAAAGTTCGGGATAGAATTAACGCCGTTTAATTTAAAGTTGGGTTTTTTTTTTAAGAGTTAGTATCATGAAAAATCCTAAACTGGTACACATATGATAAATTTACTCATAATTAATTTTTTTACTATAAAAAACCTCACACTAGTACACTTGTGACAATTTTACCCCGAACTAATTTTTTTACTCAAAATGGTATATCTGTGATAAATTTACCCTCCATTAGTTTTCGTTAAATTTTACCGTCAAATTGCTAAGTTTGATGACACGTGGTAGTTGACGGGCGTACTAGTTTAGGGTTTTACCTCTCTGTTTGTCACAAATTTATCAATTTGTGATTTTTCGTGATATTAATCCAATTTAACGGAGGGTAAATTTGTCACAAATGTACCAATTTTGAATTTTTAGTGGTCAAAAAATTAGTTTGGGGTAAAATTGTCATAAATGTACCAGTTTAGGGTTTTGGTGGTCAAAAAAATAGTTTTTGGTAAAATTGTCGCAAGTGTATCAGTGTGGGGTTTTTGGCGGTAAAAAAAATTCAGGGTAAATTTATCACAGGTGTACCAGTTTGAGATTTTTGGTGGTCAAAAAATTAGTTCAGGGTAAAATTATTACAGATGTACCAATTTAGGGTTTTTCGTGGTATTAATTCTTTTCGTTAAAAAAAATGAGGACAAAATTCGGATTAGACTTAAAGTTGGGTTTTTTTTTTAATAGGAACTAAGGCCAAAAAGTAAATTAATCACAGGTGAGGGTTTTCCAGCTTGGTGCGGAGACGCATCGTACCGACAATACAATCGGGCTCCGTTGTTATCCGGGTCGGTTCGGGTCGGGTCGGGGTGACGATATGGTTCATTCCCATATACGCGCGGCCGCGGCCAGAGCAGAGGCCACGCGTCGCGGCTGGCTAAAGCGAGCTTTTTTTTATTCATCTCCATCTCCATCCCGACGGTGGCGATGACGAATCAATGACGATGGCGACGTTCAACGTCGAACTCCAGGCCAGCAGCCTCCTGAGAATCGACCACCCCCCTCCCCTTCTCTCTCTCCTCCTCCTCCTTGCGTAGCGAGCGACGAAAGAAAGCGAGCACGGAGGAATGGCGAGGGCGAGCCACGACGAGCGGGAGAACAGAGCCGGGGCCTTCTTCCTCGCGACGCTGCTCCTGTGGCTGGTCTCCGTCCTGTTCGAGATAGCCTTCAACGAGCGGAGGGAGCTGCTCTCCATCCTCGCCGGGTGTTGCTTCTACCAGGCCGCGAACTGGGTCGTCCGGCGCCGCGTCTCCCGCGACCCTCTGTTCGTCAACACCGCCGTCTCCCTCCTGCACTCCACCGTCACCTCCGCCTCAGGTTCTCTCTCCGCTCTGTTTCTGGCGTCGTGGGTCGAAACTGGTTCGGTTGGAGCAAGTGGGTACCGGCAATTTCATGCTAATTCCAGCGATACTGATAATACTCTGCTTCGCTCTCTCTCTCTCTCCGTATGAGTTTTGTGGGATTGTTTTACGGGCAAACTTCAGAACCTGAATGATATAGCTGGTTCATGTTCGCTATGTGATCATACTATGTTCGCTTCTGTTGATCGTCATCCTACTGGAAAATTAACACTGCAATCGCCAGTGCACAAGTTTTCTTGGCATGCTTTGTTCGCGAACTCACGAGTCACGAGACTTGGGCAGCGGCAGATGTTTGGAAACAAGGCTGTCATATTGGCCGCGGAATGTGTACTTGTGAATCCTTCGTTTTTAGCTGATACCATCCTATTGAAACGACGTCTATAAGATGCCACTCTGCAGTGTTCTGTTCGCGCTGCTTTTGTTGTTTCTTTCCTTGTGTGGTGGAAGCTAAAAGACTAGGTTCTTCTCCGGCATTTTGCGTGAGTTACAAACCTATAGTGTCGAGCACGTCGTCACTGAACTGTTAGGAGTAGATCGATGCAAAATTACTAATTTCCGAATAATGGTTGGTGCAATCTGCTCTAATTGGGGGTTTCAATTGTCTTCAAATTGTACAAGTCTTTGGAAGAGGTTGTACTTGTATGTGTTTTCTTGGACAGTTCGCCATCCACGGGAGAGCATAAGGACATCTGAGGGAGCACTGCTAAGATATCAAGCACTTGAGGACAATCAGAGATGTGTGAGACAGAGAGAGCACCATTAAAATACTGGCCTCGTTGGAGCATCCTTTTGAACATGTTAGCTCTGAGTTGAAAGTGTGAAATTATGTGTAACCACAACCAACTGTTCTAAAAGTTTAAGCTGTCAGATGAAGGCGTGATTTATTATTTAAATATTCTAATATGAAGCGTCCATGTTCCTTTGGCTCTATTGCTTAAGTTTGTTGAAACTTTTCCATGCTAAGGATTCCTCTTCTTTTTCGAGGCTAGATATCTGCTCACTTTCTTGTTGAATTTTATATGTTTTGCATGCTTGACAAGCGTTAAAGCGTCAGATGCATTCACCGTATTGACTTTTGGGTTTTAATCATATATTGATTGGACCATAATAGATATCTGTTTCCTATGCAGTGGTCTTCATTTTACTTAATTTGTGGTTAAGAGATGGTTATAAGGACATGCTTGAGCATTCACAGTTGGTTGGGGCTACCTGGCCTTGGGCATACAAGGCATTGTGCTTCTCCTGTGGTTATTTTGCGTATGATCAATGGGATATGCTACAGTACCGACTGTATAGTGGTTGGATACCTTCCATCCTAGTGCATCATTTGATACTCCTCATATGCTTTACTCTCGCTCTATATCGAAATGTCACCATCAACTATCTTATCTTGACCCTCATTTGCGAGGTATGGTATGCTTTCTTTGTGAAATTTAGACATACTTAGACATTCTCTGCCTTGTATGTGAGCATTGTTTTAATTCAGATCACAATGGGCCCATGAGGTAGAAAGAAACTAGGTGAGGATATATGGAATGCGCCTTGTGAATAAACCCAAGAATGTCGGGTTAGCCGTTTACAATGTGTGTGCATACAAACAAATCCATAATGGTCTATGTGATGTCCTTTTTCCATATTGATATTCTTCATCTCGCAAGAAAGCCAATACTTGTGCATCTCGCTTGCTACGATATTTTTTTCCAAGCATTCAACCTTTGCCTTAATAATGCAATGTTACCTTACCGGTGGGTAAACCAGCTGAATTTGGGTCCAAAAGGAAAGAGTAGCTGAAATTGAGAGTAGCTGTGTCAAATGAAGCCAAAAATTCTGTGAATGCAATTTTAAACAGCATATGTATGCGGTGCATCATGATGCACATGTGAAATATGATTATCTTTTCCTTCTGTATGATTCATCTTTTGTTGTTTAGACACTGCTGAAACTTCTTTTGTTTCTTCCTTGCTATAGCTCTCTCTCTGGTTAGCTTCTTTAAATTCCTTTGGAAGCTCTGTTTAACTTTATGCCCATGTGTAATTCTATCTCAAAGTTTCCTTATTTTAAAGGCCCAGTAAGTTTTCTTTTGGGGTCAAGTCAAACCCCCAATAGAAATATTCGATCTCCACAATAGTCTGTTGTTAGGTTGCGAGTCTCAAACATGGAGCAAAGAACTTTTCGGCATTCAAGTAGAATCCGAGCACTATCTGTGTGAAAAAAATTGAAAGTTAAACTTATTATGTTCTAAATGGGGTTTGCTAGAACTTGGTGATAACTGCCAAAGTAAAAACGCTGGCATACTGAGTTTCTTTCGTTTATATTGCTAAACATGGTTCTTCTACCCTTATGGCACAGATACATTCCATATTTCTACACATGAGGAAAGTACGGAGAATGGCTGGTATTCGTGATGCCAAGAGTGTGGTTGTGAAGATTGAGTGGGTTCTAAACTGGGTCTCCTTCTTTGTCACGAGGTTAGCAGCTCATGTTTTCATAACGGCAAAGCTCATAATAGACGCTTCCAAATTCGAGAAGGGCATAGAGTTGCCACTTGCCTTGTTTGGGATGGCTGGAATGAACTTTCTCAATATCGGTCTTGGCATCGATCTCTTCAGCGCTTTCAAGAGGGAGATGTGGACATCGAAGAGTAACCGTTGCCGTGAATGAATGCCATTGCCAAGCCCAAGAGTAGATAAATTTGTTGTGCTTACACCCCTTGCCGTGTTTAGGATGGCCAGAGTCAGCTTGCTCAATGTCGGTCTTGGCATCGATCTCTTCAGCGCTTTCAAGAGAGAGTTGTGGACCTCAAAGAGTGACCGTCTTCGTGAAGACAAATTTGTTGTATCTTGTAAAATCTGATTCTTTACATTGTCTCGTGTGTTGAAATATTAAATTGATGCAGTTTTGGATGAGAGTCATGAACATTGTAAAGTTTTTTAAATCATAGTCTTTCTTACAGTGCATTCAGATAAATAACCTATAGCCTGTTTTGTTCCTATAACCATTTAGATTAATATCCATTAACTTGGTAGTCGCCGTTCTTTCGGATCAGGAAGACCTTAGTGCAGTAAGGGTGCGCATGGAATGCATTCCGGAATAAAAATTCTGTTCCGGAATGCATTCCGGAACAGAATGACGTTTGTTAAAAAATTTGGAATGCGTTCGGAGCGATTTTGCGTTCGGAATAAAAATGCGTTTGTTAAAAATCTTGATTGAGAATGCATTCTCGATTAGAATGCATTTTGATTAGGAATGAGTTTTAGCAAGAAAAAGAAACTACTTTTGTAGGCTGCGATTCGAGAATACATTCTCCTATTTTCTCACAAATTTTTTTTAGAAAATGCATAAAAATTGAAAAATTCTAGAAAAATTCATAAAAATTTCTAGAAAATAAAAAAAAGTCAGATTTCGGAAAATATGAAATTTAGTGAATACTTTTAAAAAATAAAAAAATCAAAAATTTCAAAACTTCACAAAATAGCATAAAACACATGTGGCCACCACTTTGAGTGAAATTTAAATTTTTTGAGGTGCCCAAAAAAAATCAAAAATTTTCAAAATTTCACAAAATGAGCTTAAAATACACGTAGTAGCTCTTTGAGTGAAATTTAAATTTTTGAGGTTTAAAAAAATAAAAAAATAAAAAAATAAAAATTTTCAAAAGCTTATGAAAATGTCTTAAAATACGCAGCATTTCTACGCTTTGAGTGAAATTTAAATTTTTGAGTTCTGCAAAAAAATAAAAAAAATAAAAATTTCAAAAGCTTGAGAATGGCTTAGAATATCTGTGCACGCACTTTGAGTAAAATTTAAATTTTTGAGGTCCAAAAAAATAAAAAAAAAAAAATTCAAAGCTTTAAATGGCAGAATGCACTTAGCCTTTGTTTAGTGAAATTTAAATTTTTTAGGTGCTAAAAAAAAAAAAAAATCAAAAATTTCAAAACTTTACGAATGACTTATAATACATGTGGCCACCCATTTTGAGTAAAATTTAAATTTTTTAGGTGTAAAAAAATCAACAAATCAAAATAGATTTACGTTAAATCAATTTACGGAAGCAAATTAGTCATGTTTTACAAACTGATTTCTCCTCCGAGAAATCAATTTCGCAAGAATTTGATTTACGGAGCGGAATATTATACATTCGCACCCTAAGCTACTTTGGAGTTCGATATCTTATGGTATACTATCTTATTAAGCTGCAGTGTTTCACCACATACCGTTAGTAAACCAACTACACATTCGGGTCACATGTAAGTAGATGAGGACTGACTGTCTCAAGAATCGTTAACATGAAAAAGACTCCAGTAGAAATACTGATGGGACTCTGTAGCTTGGTTCAGCTTTATTGTCATGTAATGGAAAGATGATATACTAATACTGATCTAAGAGATTAGTTTACTAGATGATATGATAAAAAACAAGTACGCATACTCAATAGGAGGACCGCATCCAACGCTCGACAATGATCCGCCACATCACTTAATTTATACCACCAGTCCTTAGCATTTTTCAGAAAAATATTGGGTCATCTGAACACCATTCCTCTTTCATATAGTTTTGTTTTCCTCACCTTTTCCTTTTTATTTGGTGTAATGAATCATGGCTCTCAAACACCAGAAGGCCCATTTTGACATCACACGACGAAAACTATTATAAGCTGTCTAATTCTGATATATACGCCTCAGTCACCAACCAGATACAATCGTCCATCAGAGTGGGGTATAGGCTAACACGAAAAATTGGCCAACAAAAGTAGCAAAACAACAGCACTAAAACAGATGATTTCATTTACACCCCAAAAAAAAAAAAAAAACAGATGACTTTACTTCACAGCTACTTCTCATGTAGTAGATACCCTTCATATATTAATGAAGCAATGATGTAAAATATTTAAATGTGGCTAACAGCAAAAGTTAGCCAATCCCAAAGGACACAAAACTTGTAACTGCTATTTTGAAACTATCGTACCGATGTTTTTACCTTTCCTCCCTCTTCCTAGATTTCCAGCTGAATTCCATTTTTTGTTCTGGAGAAGAATTTAGCAAATCCGTTTCGATTCTTCTCTGAGCTAACTTGAGCTGATGGCACAGCAGATGAAACTGATGACGATGAAGATGCTGGTGACTTTCCAATATCACTTGGATTTAACGAAGGACAAGGACTGTCACCTGGCATTTTGAGAGAATTGGCATCTCGTTTAGGCGAAAAAGTTCTGTTGGAATGCAGCTTCCACATCTCTCCATTGGCTCTGGGAACAATAGATCCTCCTGCTGTGAATTCTGGTATGTTGGCTGTATCAATAAGGAAGTCTTCAAGTGTGGCCAGAGATTCCAACTGCTTTCTGAGAGACACTATTGTCTTCTGGCACTCCGTAAGTCTTCCCGCAGCCACATCTAAATCCTCCTAAAACGTCACAGATCCACCATAAAAATGGTATTGTATCCTTTCGAGACAATTAGTGTGTATTAAAATTGAGGTAAGTACACCAACACGAAAAAAAGGAAAAGACAACATTGAACCCCACTTGATACCTTTTCATTTTCAAAGCACCATTCGGTGGCCTAAACAAGTGCCCTCAAGGCTCAGCAATATCCAATTGAAAAGATAAATGAAACCCACCTGCTTTATCTTTGATCGGCCATTCGAGCTTGCGATATCCTGGGAATCAAGCTCCTCTTTCTTTCTTTCTAGCTCTTCCTCCAGTTCTCCACACTTGATCGTAAGTTCGTCAGACAATGCTCTCTCCTTCTTCACTTCTTCCTCCAACGCACTAACCTTAGTGTCCTTCAACTGAGCTTCTGTTTCCAGTTTCCTGAGTTGAGACTCTATGGCTTGCTTCTCCTCATTGGCCACATTTAGCTCCTTTTGTAGCTCTTCTGTCTTTGACAGAGCCTCTCTCAGTTTTAACTCCAATGCCTCAAGAGAGTTGCCTCTTGCAGTTAGAGCCAAACGCAGCTCAGCTTTTTCCTTTTCCAGCTGCTCTTTCTTCGCTTCTAATTCGATCGTACAACTAATCGCTGCATCAAGTTCTGCCCTCAGCTGAACCTCTGATGCATTAATGTAGATTTGGCTCTCAGCCAGAGCCATCTGAAGTTCAGCTTTCTCCTTTTCAAGCTGCTCTTTCTTTGCTTCCAATTCGATCGTATGATTATTTGCTGAATCAAGTTCTGCCTTCAGCTGAACCTCTGATGCATTTATAGAGATCTGTCGCTCAGCTAGAGCAATCTGGAGTTCAGCTTTCTCCTTTTCCAGCTGCTCTTTCTTTGCTTCCAATTCAATTGTATGGTTACTCATCGCGTCAAGTTCTGCTCTGAGCTGAAGCTCTGATGCGTTAACAGAGATTTGGCTCTCAGCTAAAGCCATGTGGAGTTCAGCTTTCTCCTTTTCCAGCTTCTCTAGTTTCTTTTCCAGTTCTGCTGTATGATTGAGAGCAACATCAAGTTCCTCTCTAAGACAGCTTCCAGCATCAACACTCTCCTTTGGAACTAATTCTGATCCTTCTCTGCTAACCTCAGGTAAGGCAGCAAGCCGTTCCATCTCAAGGAAATCATCCATGAGGTCTATCTCAACAGATGTTTTGTTAACACCTTTTTCGCGTTTGAACTGATTGAATTCAGCAATTTGGACCAATGCCCATGTGTCATAGCGGCCTAATTCAATTTTTTCAGTCTCCACATTACTCATTTCCACCAAATTAAGCCGATCACCACTGTCTGATTGACTATCTGTCAAAGATTCAACATAAATTGATGAAGCAGTGGCAGATTTATTATCAGCACCCAAGGATGACTTCGTAGCCATAATTCTTAGCTTCCGGCACTCAGCCTCAAGTTTAGCGACTCTCTTTATGCTCTCGAGATGTTGCTTGCTTGCTGCTTCTGCTGCCTGGGTGCTCAAGTCCCTCTCGATTGTCCTAATCTCTAACTCTTCATTTTGTTGTTGGAGCTCGCGCCTGAGAGATGAATTCTCTCGCTCCAAAAGCTTGAGCTTTTGGTGAAGATAAGGATTGGCATCCACGGGAGGTTGATTTTCCAAGGCATCCACTTTCTTTTGGAACTCGAGAATTTGATTTTTGAGTTCAGTTTTGGTTGACTCCCATTCCTTTGTAGACTTCACTACAGCTTCATAAATCTTATGCTCCTGCTCCTCTCTACCTTGTCTCAGCTGCCTAACACATTCCTTCAGGGCCCCATCAAGGTGACTCACCCTATCCTCTAATGATTTCTTCTGCTGTGTTGCAACCTCTAGTCTTTCCTTTAGAATTGCCGCTTCATTTTCAGCTTTTTCCCAGCCTGTAGTAATTTAACAGTTATTAAATATGTTTCATATCAAGCATAACTTACAAGTAACAAATCAGATGGAAAAGAATTCACAAAGTCCAATTATGTGGAAAATGCGAATGATGTAGAAAATTGCAGGAAAAACTGTACAAGCACTTATTAGTACCTGCAACAGCTTCTTCGGCTACTTTAGCATGCTGTTTTACCAAATCCTCTTTGGCACTTACATTCACCAGTGCAGCCGACAATTTCTCTGTCAAACTCCTCATGACTTCATTGACATCATTTTCAGCCATTTCAGCTCTAGACGTGACTTCAGGGGAATGATTGTCATCACAAGGAGATGCCTTTGATGCTTCCTGCTTTGAAAATTCGAGCAACTATTGTTAATCCTTTAGGGATGGGCAAATTTGAAAGAAGACAGCAACTATCAAGCAAAGGGAGTGGCTCGATGAATCATATAGCAAACTGCAGCTTGTCCAATCATTTAATCCCAAGAGTCAGTCATACCCCGTGAAAACTGTCTCCAAAGACTCACTGAATGATCTAAACCTCCAAGTTACTAATCCCAGGTCGATCAATATACCACCGAATCATTCTAACATTATCCATGAAGCAAATTAGTCTCTTAGAGATTGGATCTAATGTCCCTCGCACATTTGGACTACATGACGGGAGGGGAGCCACATCCACATGCACTCCTAGGGGCAATATCCTTAATACTTCTCCTAGCTCCTAGTTGATATGGAATCTGAAGAGTCATATCCGATATCGTACAACATAATCATATATTTAGGAAAAATCACATGTGATCAAATACTTTAGATTTCACACTACCACCAGTTTTGGGCTATGATTGGCAGTTTTACCGAAAGCTATTTATAAATAACCATACAGCACAATTAAATATAGTGAACTCAACTAGCGAGACTGTTTTCCACCTCTAAGCTAAAAGCAGCCAGAATTATTCACGGAGGAAAGCAGATAACATAATCAGGAAGGTGCCATCTCAACTGACAAAGCACATCCAGTATAGATAGCACATTCTTTATTGTTATAGTGAAGCTTAGGATAATAGCAGGGCAAAGCTCTCATCATCTTATATATCGCAACAGTCTTACTCAATTATACCAGAAGATTTGAGATTTGCAGCTGACCAAACAATCGAGTGCATGTCTAAAATCCAGATATCTATTGTGAACATTACTTCAGAAGAAACATTGTCGAAAATTTTGTAACGACAAGGAAAAGAAAGAAATTGTGCAACTATCTCCAATCTGTGGAAGTAGAACTTGCATAGAGCAATTTGATATGAAGACTGGAGAGACATAACACCATTATCTTGAGAACTCCAACGACCTAAACATTTCATGACAAGCTAATTAAGAAATACGAAAAACGGGCACCGCACTTGATTACTGCGGTTCTAATTGGTCAAATACTGGGAAATCCTACCTTAGCACCAGAAAAATAAAAAGAGCCAGCAACATCTACGAAAGAGTATCGAGCTGAAAGATGTGCAGAAGATGGATGCAGTCACAACCTGACCATCAGAGTCTTTCTCAGAAGGGGAAGAAATTGATTCTGAACTCTCACCATCACCGGGGCTTCTATCAGAGGATTTCCTCTTCCACAGCCATTTGCGCTTTTCCATTACGCCCACCTTAGTGAAGTACCGACTAGCACGTCACAGGCAGGTCAAATCTGCATCAATTTGCAAATTCACAACATCCGTCATGGAAGCTACAATCTTTCCGGTACAAGCACAAACGGACATCCTTTTCAACAAGCCCACAAGCCGTCATTTTCTCACCTAAGCTCAAATTCAAAAAGCAAACTAATAACAAATAGGTATAAAAGATTCCCCCGTAATTTAAAGAAGACTGATTACTAGTCACATAACAAAGTCGAATGCAAGATAATGTTAAGCTTCAGTGAGCCCATGAAGAAAAGATTTTAAACAGTAAGCCACTGAGGGATTGCCGTCTGCTGAAGATATTAGGTAAGCCAATCGCTAGCTCCGGCGCAGGACCTAAAAAGGAAGACTAATTTGAGCAGAATCAAAGATGGGCACTACTCACCTGATAGAAGAAACCATTTGGAAAACCCTCTTGCATGAATAAAATAGATCCCCGAGGCCTTTACAAGAACAGGAGAACAAGGAGTTTAAAACCCTAAACGCCCAATCCAAACACTCTCTGGCTTCAATGGCCAGTGAGGCATCAACCTTGAAAGCTCTCCTCTAACTTACCAGAAACCAAAAGCACATCTAGGAAATGAACACTAGTGCACCACATAAAAAATAAAGAAAAGAAACAGTCGGAACAATGCAGAAGCAAGAAAGGCTAAAAAAGCAAGTACCTTCGACTGGAATCAACAACGACCCAGGAGATCAGTTGCGTGGTAATTAACTAATCAGATTAAGAAACCCCGAAAAGGATGGTGCCGCTCGGACGTGAGTTTCACGAATGCCGAGGCCCAAATAAAATAAGAACTGGGCAAGAACCCTGTAGAATGTCAGTTGACTCATTTACAGATGGATTTGCGAACGGAGAGCCAGCGAAAAGCAGCAGATGATTCGGGGGGTTACCCATTTCTTGTTCCCGAAAAATCCAGAAATCAAGAAGGAGCCCATGTGATGGGGAGGGCAACCAGAGCGAGCGACACCCAGAGATAACGAAAAAAAAACAAAAGGAAAGAAAACCCACTTTTCCAGCCTTTGGGGTGCTCGCTTTTGCGTTCAAATAAAAGAACTATTTGTTGTTTTCATACATCTGGTTTGAATCTAGGGGAGCTGCCCCTAATTCCCGCCCGTGTGTCGAAACTTAGCTAACAGGGGGGATGATCAACGATTTAAGCTGGTTCGTTAATTGGTGGGTGTTGCTCTGTTCTCCCTCTCTCTCTCTCTCTTTCACTCTGTATTGACCCTGGTGGGTGTTGTTTCTGCAGCTTTTTGTATTTACTTTACTGTCTGTGTGTTTGTTTGTGGAACGGAAGGCAAGAAACAAAAGGGAATAGGATGGGCCTACAAGGAGGAAAGGAGGAGGAGGAGAAGTAGGCGCGCACTGCAATATTTTGCATAGTGGAGAGGAATCTCATCCCACGCCAGACGCGCTCGGGGAGGTGGCGTGTACCGTACTCTGTTCCGTTCCGTAGGCGTGCGTCGGGGAGCCTGCCTGCAACCCCTGTTTTTTTCCCCCCTCTCCTGGAGATGCGCGCGAGGAGCGTCTCGATCTGCGTCATCCAAACGGTGCGCACAACCTGCGATCCGCACGGCGTCTCACCTTTATCTCAGCCGTCGACGCGCATCTCATTTCTGCGCATTTAACGGTCGAGGATTTGTCGCAATAGCAACGGGAGGACCCGTATTTTAGTTTGGAAGGGCAGGGCGAGCATCGTACCTACCGCTCCCTATATTATCCGAAGAATCTCGCACCCGTCAACGGATATTCAATTTTAGCCATAACTGTTCGGTCCATCCGTAAGGGTACGAGCCCACCGTCGTAGTCTCTAGGACGCGTTAGGAGCCCGAGACGTCTCTCCGCTTTGTGATTTCATGAAAAGATGATACGACCTTGTTGTTGGGTTACCGATAGAGTCCTATCGCTGCAAAAGCTTTCCAATGACGTATTTTTCTCCTTTCTAGTTAGATCGGGCATTTAGGGTGCGTTTGGTAACCGTTATGTTCCCGGAAATAATTTCTGCTCGGAAATAATTTTTTTTTTATTCCATTCCCGGAAATAATTTCTAAACATTTGGAGGAGTTTGGTAACTGTCCAAAATTTTTATTCCTGAAATAGAAAAAGAATAGAAATACGTTTGATAACTGTACAAATTTCCTTTTTGTTAATAATATTTTGAATTTTTTAATATTTCTCTCTCTTTTCTTTTCTCTTTTCCTTCTTCCCCTTCCTTGGCCTATGGCCAAGTCGCTAGTGCCAGCAACCGGCCATAGGCTGGCGAGGGCATTGCGGGCCTCGCCACCCTCGCCCAGGCGGCAAGGGTCTAGCCCTCGCCCTCGCCTGCCCTGGCTTGTGGCCAGCGATTGGTCACAGGCCATGAAAAATGAAGAAGACCAACCAAGAAGAAGAAGAAAAAAAAAATTTCTTTTCCATTTCTGATTCTTATTCCCATAATCAAGAATCAACTTTTTTTTATTCTTGTTCTGTTCCAAAACTGATTCTAGGAACAAATTTGTGTCCGGGAATAAAATATTTACCAAACGGATTTTTGTTCTTTTTTTGTTCCGGGGAATAAAAGAATAGAATCGAGTACTGTTTGGTAGGTTACCAAATAGCCCCTTAGTGACCCGCAAATCTCGCGGGACATGGGCCGGCCAACTTCACAAGGGCCAAAAGGAAAATTCGGGAAAGTCCGAACAAGGGCTTATAGTTATAAGGCTCAACCTGACCTTATTAGGCTTCCGTCCATCTTGCAAAATTATAACATATTTTTTCTTAATGAGCAGTTTTGGGCAACAAGTTAAGTCCTATAGGCACGTAATTCTTTACCGAATACCTTGACCAATATTGAGCCACGTTGTCCGATCTTTACTAAAAAATTGATTGAATGGCATAATTGGAGCTATTTAACGATACCTAATTTGTCAATTTAGATGGTCGGATCTCAATGTATCACAACAATTATTCACCGCCATTCAATCTCGATGATATCAATACACTCGTGATTTTACCAATTCAAATCATTTTCATAAAATCCAAGTCAGGGGCTTTCGATGCATCGAAGATTAGGTCTATCGGGTTTAAAATGAAGGAGTAATCACGAGCCAAAAGTTTTGATCAAACTCCTTAACGAAAAGTCCACGAAAAGACAGAGCAAAAATAAAACAAATGAAGGGGGTTGGTTTCAGGGCAGACTTTGAAACTCAACCAAACTCCGAAAAAGAGAAGAAACTCGAAACCAACTAAGGACGAGTCGGTCATATCAAATACCAACTCCCTAGACTTCCTTCGGGTTATTTTAGAACCATTTGGAGTCGGATCGCCTAATTCGTAAGACGACAGAATAGGCCCTTGTTTAAAATTCTGATCCTGTCGTTGCGATACGAGCGCAAAATTAGACAATTAGACATCTCAAAACTATCCGCAGCCACGAACATCATGTGAATTCTATATTGAAACGAGGGAGGTACGCGTGTCGCGAGATAATTAAGAATATAACTAAGCATGAGGATACCAATTCTTGATGCATGTCACAACCTTGAAAAGCTGCCAGATGAGCTCGGCTCGCTCGAGAAACTGACCTATTTTTGGATATATCCAGGTGCTTCTTGCCGGAGTATATGTCCAAAGAATTGGCTTTGCTTACTGAACTTTGGTGTTCTACAGGGGTTCTTGATCGTTGATGCAACAGGTAAGGACGCTCGTAAATATACCGATTTGGCGGGCCTGAAGAAACTGAACAGACTAAATATTACTAACAAACAGGAGGGATTTCCCTGTGGAAGAAGAGCTACACGCTCTACAAAAGTTCAGGCTCCTTGAAAAGCTGACTATATATCTTGGGGAGGAAGATCCAAGCCAAGAGAAAATCAGATATAGGCCATTTGATTCGACTTTGGAGGAATGCAAATACCTTTAGACTAAAGGGGTTTTCCGAAATGCAAGTAGTATTTGGTAAGTATTTTTTAAAATTAACTTGGGCTAAAGGACTTTTGCTAATATTTTTTTAAAAAAAAAAACAAGCTCCGGTGGAGCTAAACCACCGGCCACCACCGCCGGCCAGATCAAGTCGCCGGCGAACCGCCAACGGCCAGATCTGATCGCCAACTACCGCCGCACGGGCTCCGACCCACCGCCGCTTAAGTCAGGGTCGCGCGACCCCCCAGGCGGTGGTCGCCGGGTCGGGCTAGCCCTCAGGCGGCAGTCGCCAGACCTCGATCTAGGGAAGATGAATAGTGACAATGAATAGTGCAAGTTACATTCCGAAAATGCAACTTCTCAAAGCAACTCTACCTTTGCATTGGCCAAAAGTCCCTTGGAGAGCATTCCAAATGTAATTGTATCTCCCCAAAGTGAGTAAAAAAAGTTGCCAAACACCATTTACATTTGTCCAAGGGACTTTAGAGCCCAAATGAGCATTCCAAATACTAAACCAAACGGGGCCATAATCCATCAGTCGTAAATGAATACCCCGTAAACTCAGAGCAGATGGTCATGGAGAATCTAGACAACCGAACAGTAGCACAAGACGTCGACGAGAAAAACTTCTGATTCCGTGGAAGAAGGCACAGGTGCTGCAAGTACATAGAAATCAATAAAGTCCTGAAACTCATAGAGAAAGGTGACCAAGTGCCAAATTCACAGAGCACGAGATGTAGCTGATGCCGGGGATATTGCTGAGGTAGGCCATGGCGACATAGAGCCGGATTCGGGACTTGTCAACTTCGGGATTCCAATTGCCACAATAGAGAAGGAAGATGGACAGTAGAAAGCCTAAAACCCCAAGAAAGCCGGCTATTTCCAAACTCCTGTCCTGGCTAGTAGCTACCTTCCGTAAGGGACGCACTGCGAAAGGAGCAGGAGAAGTTCTTGAAGAGCTGGAGATGGGTTGGAGAGATCTACAAGCTCCATTTCCTAAGATGATCTATTCGGAGATGGTTGAATGTCCCAGGCTCACTCCATGGGCTACGGCTGAACACAAGGGGTACCATGTAAAATATTCTGCAGTAGTTCTCCTGGGAGGACTCGAATCCTGGAGAGCATCTTTGCTGTACTATTACCATGCCTTTTGAATGACATATATATATAAACTACTCAAATTCACTGGCTTTTATTAGTTTGTTTTTCTGCTTTTGCAGCAAAATGTCCCATGCTCTCATCCACAAATAAGTTCGGAATTAGCAAGAACAGATTTCTTTACTTGATGCGAGTCCCTGGGCATGAAGTATTTTCGGAGGTCGGATTCCCGTCTGCATATTGTTTTTCTCCATTGTGTCGGTGTTGTTCCCTCTAGATCCACATTTTACTGCTTTATCTTTCTGCGGATGAACAGGAACATCCAGTCGCCACTAACACAAAGTTAAGAATCCAAATTGATCTTACATTGAGAAGGCGTCCGACCGCCTCGTTGCCAGAAGAGCACCTCTCCTTGTGGTTTTTCATTACCTTGGACATTTGTTGTATCAGTCAGCTTACAACTCGAGCAAAATGATAGCCAGCAAGCTCCACAACATAACAAAGCGAGCCACGGTACATTATTAAGTTATGATATTAAGGTTTCACTGGTTCGGAAATTTCAACCTTTCAAACTATTTGGTACTATCACTCCGCCACCGGTTCGGAAATTTCAACCTCTCAAACTCGCCACAGTTAAGAAACCTTACTTGTTTTTTGGCAGGAGACGCCAGATTTCTTCAAGCGTCCAGCTCAGCTCATGCAGAATTCAACCATTTCAACATAAGGATTATCAACCAAAAAAAAAAAAAAAAACATAAGGATTGCTATTTAGGCTTAACGATAATGGAACCTTCCTCATTTTCGCAATTAATCTCTCGAACATAAAGAGGAAAATCCCCCGCAGAGCACAAACTAGAGCTGCTGTGAGTAACTCTGGACAAACATCAAAAGGACCAAGAGGAGCATTCACGATGAACAAACCTTCCTTATGCATTAAATAAAATACTAATAACACTCACAATTATTTGGAAGATTCTTTCAATTCAAACTGCTGTACACAAACTATGACAATTGCCTCCAAATCCCCAACAGGGGAAAAAGAAGAAATCCATGATCAGACAACACCAACAGACCTTATCTTATCTTACAGTGGCCAAAGGTTGATGGAAAGAAAGAAGAAAGAACATAAATTTGAGGATGATGTATGAATATGCCCGACTTGCTAGCAGGATTATTTACAGGAACACAAAACAACCCCAGATGCCTATAAGAACCACAGTTTTAGTGTCAGCCAGGTACGAAGAAATCCATCTTATCGACCGGAAGATTGAGAACTGATTTTTCCACCTGAGTACAGTGTAACTATAGGTCAAGCACATGACTTAAAGGAAAAAAAGAATCATCCACTTCACTAATATAACTTGCTTAGATCCAAGAAAGGGGAAACATATGGCAAGCAGTCAAATAAATCATGACCAATTCATACCAAAAAGGCAAATGTAGGGAAATATTCAGCTGACGGTAAGGGTCGCGGGAAAGTTAATATGATGCACTTCATAGCAAGGCACGTAAGAATGTATATCTTATACAACCAATCAAAGTCTGATCTTTTTTTTTGGCTAGGTCAATCGAAGTCTGATTTCATCCCCTTGAATTACGTGATTGGACAAACAATCTTTATTTACGTATGCCGGGATAACTCAGAGAACATGCTGCAGTCGCAGGGAGATTGTTTGTTGAGCTACCAGGCAAGTTCCCAGATACTCTTTGACTTATATCTAGCTATATATAGTTTATTTCATTGTTTACTTTTTCGCAATATAGCCTAGGCCTAAGAAGTAGGAGCGTCAGGTAAAGCCCATCAATCTAACCACGTTTCCGTGTATCAACGAGTGCTACCACAATAAAGAGAACCTAGGAGCAACTTCTCAGAAACATATGACTCTTCAACTGGATCAACTTTCGGATAGGTGGAAATATCCAGTACAGAGCACTCACCTCTTCAAACGGAACAAAGACGAAGGGTGTTAAACCCCTCCTGTGTGAGATGGCAGGGACATCTGGATTATGAGTTTCATCATCCTGCCACCCTTCAACCAATCCAAGGATGTCTTCGTCATCGCCCCTGACCTCATTATTGTTCACTCCACTGGTAACAAGGGATAGCATATCCATTCTGTTGTTGGCCCCTGCAGCTGTTCCTCTCAACCTACAAGATGAAACATTTCAGCAGCCCTGTCAAGTAAACGAGAGAGGATTCATTCTTGCTCCAGAATCTCAAACTAAGCACCATCTGAATATTTTTTCCATGCCCTTATTTCTTGGGTCTTAATAAGAAGGGAAAGGGGGAGGGCGGAAGCAATGGAGTCAGGAACATCACAACTTACAAATTAAGGAAAACTGAAAATGTTCTATTGTCCTAAGGATATGATGCCGGTTCAGTTAACTTCTGCATCTTCAGTCCGCTTCCCATTGATTCCATTATTTATCTAGTAGTAAAGGAGTTTAGGGAAGTGAAAGATAGGCAACTATTCAAAGAAAAAGAACTAATTTTACGACTCCATAAATCGTCATCTCTGGCATAAAAATATTTGTGGCCCATTCATAACCATATACCTGAATGAACAATAATTACCCATCCTAGTACTACTCTCGCCCAAGCACACTTAACTTCGGAGTTCTGATGGGATCCGGTGCATTAGTGCAAATGATTGATTCTTATGTTACCCAAAAGAACATATAAAGATCTTAGAATGAGATCTTAGAATGAACGTGATGTTAGAACACCACAGAAAGTACCTTAGCCGGATTCTTAAAACTGTAGGCCGCATGCCTGGATACAAAAGAGCAGCTTCAACCTGCCATTAGCGAATGACCACCAGGTTAGCAGAAGCACAAAAAAAAAAAAATCAAAATAACCCCCTCCATATGAATATGAATTTTTTTCTCATAAATGCAAAAGGAAATAACAAAGCCAAACCTTGTCATCAGACAATGTGTAGTGGCCGCCGAAAACACAATCCGTTTTAGACGCACGAAAGTTCATGGATTTTGCTACGTCTTTCACTTTTTGAGAGGAATTCTGAGAATTGAAGATTAACACAGTTTATCAGATAAAACCTTTTGCTCTCACAAACACACACCAGCTCAAAGTAGAAGTTCAGTATTTTACACGCAGAAGTCAATTTGTTAATAACCTTGTAAAGAAACCTCCCCGAAGGAAAGAATCTTATGTACCGGAAATAGCAGACCTGAAACGCGAAAAATAATTTAGAGTATCAGCAAGAAGAATGACATACAAAATGGGTTTTACTGATTAGAGCAATGATTTGATCCCTAGGGCAACAAGTACCAAAGCCCTTGATAATGCCTACTACAATCAGTATGATATGAAGGTTCAGGTATCATGGTACAAACCGCTCATTGATGAATACAGCACACACGAGCGCATAAAAGTGCACATTGTGTTGGTAGTTAGCTTAATTAGCATAGTATGAACTCCATTGTGTGCATGTTGTTAATTTGTTAGCTCAATTAGCACAGAATGAACTACTTTCGAGTGCACTTTCCCCTCCTTTTGGGCTTCGTCCCCCAACAATACCCCAGTGGTTTAACTTTTCCATAAAACCCCAGTTCTTTAGTTCTAAACTCAAGTAGTCTTTTGAGGTTGGTGGGCCAGGCTCTCTACATCCGCATTTAAATTATTAGCAAGAAGATTGACATGCAAAATGGGTTTTACTGATTAGAGCAATGATTTGATCCCTAGGGCAACAAGAACCAAAGCCCTTGATAATGCCTACCACAATCAGTATTATATGAAAATTCAGGTATCATGGTACGAACTGCTCATTGATGAATACAGCATACACGAGTGCACATTGTGTTGCTAATTAGCATAATTAGCATAGTATGAATTCACTGAATGCATGTTGTTACTTTGTTAGCTCAATTAGCATAGAATTAACTACTTTCTAGTGCACTTCCCCCTCCTTTTGGGCTTTGTCCCCCAACAATACCCTAGTGGTTTAACTTTTCCATAAAACCCCAGTTCTGCAGTTCTAAAGTCCTTTAGTCTTTTGAGGTTGGTCTGCTAGGCTCTACATCCGCCTTTTGACTGCCTTGAATGTTTAATTGGTAAATCTGCATAGTTAAATTTATCTAGATTAGCAAAGTTCATGATCACTTAGATCCTGTTCAGCACAAGTTCCATCTCAAAGATCACTTATTCCACTGCTTTTCCCTTTCAATCATGTAAGCATAGACTAATATTGGGCTAGTCAAGTCCCTTGACGAACAGCCCGTGAGCAGGCAAAAGAAGCAAGTGCAAGACAGTATTTCTCCCACATCATGATCATAAAGTAAACACAAAATGAATGTTCTATTGCTTGGCTCAACCCTCTCAACAACTAAGACATCCTTCTAAGGAACATGATGATCACATAAACTGAGAGCCTAGAAGGTTGGTTGACCATATTATCTGGAGTTCCTCAAGTAAACTTGCTTCTGCTTGCAAGTCTTTACTATGCATAAGATGCTTAAACTCGTTGGTGCATAAAATATTAGCAAAAACTCGAATACATACCACATGCACTGGGTTGGTAACTGTCCACTCAGCAACTCCAGTACGAATGTATGTGTTTCTACTCACATACAGACCTGAAATACAAAGATCAGGATTTAATTTCATTTTCTCAAAAGTGAAAGGAAATACTTAAATTTATTTAAAAATGCATCCTACCATATTTAAACAAAGAATGTCGATAGCAAAAATATCCATTAAAAATGATCCACATGTAAATTTGGCAAAGATAAGGAATATTAAGCAAAGTTCTGCAACAAGCCCCGTTTATTGTATTGATGAAAATCAAATACATTAAGATACTATCTTGAACACCAATGGACGCTAAAAGGAACTTGCGTTATCAAAGGAACTCAAACGGTAACAGCATAAAGGATCATGTTATAATCACAGGTCAAATCTGACCAAGGTGATACTCGGGCAAAAATGAGGACCCACCACCACATTGCCCAACTTTGTTAAGAGTTGAACCTAGATTTTGTACTAGGAGAAGAGTGTCCCCTGCCAATGGGCAAAACTCCTGGATGATTGTGAACGTGTCTCTCAAAATTGGACATAAGTGGAATATATGAATCGGTCCAACCCAAGCATTTACCCTACACTATAAATCCTTGACGGAGTGATCTCTTCATTAGTTTACACTAAGCGAAACTAGCTAGAGCTCACACTGTTTTGTCATGTCCAGAGTGGCAGCTGACTGGACATTGAGCATAAGGATGAAGACAGCATTTTCGGCATCTGTACCCTCAACAGGAGTTAAAGAACTTTCAATTAGAGTGGAAGGTCAATGCTTGAGACTCCAAGGTACTATGAACAACCTTCTAAACAAAAACACATGCATTTGCAGCTTTCCATCGAGATACAGATTTTCAGAAGAGGTTATTGTGGATTAAACAGAATGAAGTAGTCACAACTTTTGCAGACAAATAGATAACAAGATATACGACATTCTTGCATCCTTCACTATTCCAATCCACGTCACTTACACTGTCAATGATTTATCCATTAGGGTGATCAAATGTCTTTCTTTTCTCAGTATTGATTCGTGCAAATGCACAGCAGAAAAAAGAGACAAGCTGTGATGACTAAGTTCAACCTCTGACCCTTTGTACCATTTCAAAGTTATTTAACCACGTTCCACAAGAACTCCAGCTCAAAAGGATGACTCACCATCAGTACGAACCCTTGGTCTTAAAAGCCACATCTTCCTCCAAGAGCCTTCATATTTTTTCTGCAATGTCTTGTAATTTTCCACAACTCCCGAAACCTTCATTAGTCAGGCATTAAATAAACAATTTAAGAATCAGTTGATAGCTCATACAGATGAACAATAATAAAAAGTACTGGAAATTTACCTGCCAAGCCTTCAGGCAAGCATTGCGCCAAAATATGGGGTTCCGGATGGTGTACCTCCATTTTCTACACACACAAGAAGCCCTTCCTAAGTCATATGGAGCCAATCGCGCGAAGACCTGCAAAATAACCTTCATATAAATACTCTCTAGAACATTCGCTGTGTTGTGTTATGCAATTATAACGCAGTTTGATGCCATACAGCAGTAGATATAGTTATTTAGACTTGTCAAAAGAAAAAAGATATAGTTTTTTTCGCCATTTTATCAGCGGTAGCAAGTTGATCCAGATTCACCTCATTGTTTGCCCCTACAAGATATCGAATGCGACAAAATTGTCCCACCAAAAGAAACAAAGTAACTCCAAGCAAAGAATCTATAGTAACTTTATGTTTATATGCATAAATTCTGTGAATTCATGTTTATATTGACAAGAGAACATGATTATCATTATGCCTACACCAACTTCAATGAATGAGCACAGGATGCGAAACTTCAGAGATGTCGGGATTTCACCATGTGCTCAACTTCTTTTCAAGGGAACCTAATGAAGACCAGCAATCATATATCACATGGAGCTTGCTGCAGAGCTCCCGTGTATAACCAGAAAAAAATGAAGCCTTCTCACCAATATTCCCAGGTGTGGGCACTAGGAAAAAGAGAACCTGACCTATATTTTCTGTATCAACTAAAATTTTATTTAGATACAGAATACACCTTGCACTCGTTCCACATACACTATCCAGCTCTGATGGTTCCATTTGGAAGAAAAGAAATGCCCCATCTACAGTTCAATTGGTTAACTAGAGCAAGAATGGCAAAATATCGAGGGAATTTTGACGTTCGATAGAAGTGAATTTTGCTACACGGTATATTTAGTGAATTATCATTGATACGCACTCAAGCCAATCATCCTTCTTCACCGTCTCACACACACACACACAAATATAGTTCAATTCCGGCTTCAGATCACATTTCCTTTCCCCACCATATAAAAAACCTTAGCTTTCTAGTTTTATATTGCAATACCTCATGGAGAAGCTCATCGGGGAGGCAACGGTTGATCAGGGCTGGATCCACATAGGGTTTCCTACTCACACTTCCGAATGGAGCAACCGGTCTGACATTTATTCCATAAAGATCTGGAACAGAAACACCAATAAGACACCATATGAATACCCCATACAGCAAGCGCGCCAAAAAGTTGCCAGACCAAATAAGCACATGAAGAAACCGACTCAAAAGATTATGAACAGCTGAAAATTACCTAACCACGGCCTTTGGGTAACTAAATACCGCATGCTCCTCAACCGCAGAGCCGATTCAAGCTCCGCCGGAACCGGCGGCGCGAAATCTGCAGCAAGATGACAATACATTACTCGGGCACAACAAAAATCCCAGAAAGCACCCGCCTTTCCCCGAGAACTTGCTCGAGCGCGATCAAACGAAGCTCCAACAAAAGAAGGCCAACCGAGCCTCTTATCCCACTTAATGCGGGGACGGGCCATATGGATCACATCATGCCCATTGAGCCACGAGGACTACGCGGCATGCTTCGCTCGCGGTGGAACAAAAGGCTCGGTAGCTCTCGTCGTCTTCCAACCAGCGAGGAATTGAAGTTCAAAAAAGAAACAAAACAAACAACCGACGCAAACAACTCCTTCTCCCCCCGCCCCCTCAATCGCATCATTCCCCGACAAACAAACATTAGTTTCGTCAGCAAGCAAAAGGGAAGGGAAAACGACGACCCCCACGGCTAGAATAAATTCAGATCAATCGTCGAGCAACAAAGCTACGCCAATCCGCCCGCCGTGCTCGTCCGCATCGTATTTCGAGAACAGATTGAATTCGAGCGAAAAGCCCAAAGGAGGAAATTGAGTCGGGAATGAACATCGGATCCGAGCAGCGAACGAAGTTTTACCGGAAGCCATGACAGGATTTGGAGAGGTCGACGGTCGTCCCGATCCCAAACTCGAAGGCTCGGCGTATCCAACTTCGCCGGAAGCATCCAGAGAGAGAGATGGAGAGGAAGAGATGGTTTGAAGGTCGACGAAGAGAGAGAATCACGTACCGATTTTCCTTTTCTTTTTTTCTTTCCTTTTTTTTTTGTGTTCATTTCTTTTTTGAGTCGAGGTGGAAAAACCACTGGCTGTGGTAATTGGCCAACCGCCATTTGCGGGACCCGCGGTGGGAGTTCCGTGAAAATGACTCGAAAAGTATTTTTTTGTAAATAATTCTTGAAAAAATTAATCAATAGAAAATATTTTCACCATTCATAATAATTCATACCTCATCAATTTTATGAATAATAAAAATATTTTTCATTCGTTTATATTTTATAAACTACGTAAGCAATTATTTTTTAGAAAATGCTCCAAATCGTACGATTTTTCATGAAATAAACGCAACCGACATAACCATCAATTTAACTGGATTTTAATCTACGTAATGAATAGGGCTCTCACTTTAACTTATCTTCGGGGCGGGGAACGGTTGTGTTTGAGGCAAGGTCATTTACGATCTTTTTCACGATCGGTAATTCTTTTTTTAATTTATCGTGCACGTTTATAGATAGTTCTAAGTTATAAAAAAAAAAAAACGACGGAAAAGTTTGTGTTTTCTTAGGCACGAGAGAGGAGCAGATCCTTGCATGCATGGACATCGACGCACGGGCTCCTCTTTTTAAATAGACGGATCGTATTAGGCGATTCGAGCAGAAGAGCTCGAGGATTTAATTGAGTGAACAAGGTTCAGGGGATATATTGAAAAAACGATGGAAGTTCGAACGCTAGTGATGCCTTTATCCGACTGATAAACGGTGCATGCGTGATCAACTTCTGCCGTTTTGCCTTTCTTTTACTGCTGTTCTGATACCGTATTTTAATGATACAAGATTATTAAAAAACACAAGCAATAAAGCACGACTACGGGCATATCAATAGTCAAGAAGAAATTTTTCCAACGAATTGAAATATAAAATAATTTCTTTATATTCTGAGCAGTGTTTTAGGTGATTGGAAGTGTTCTTACAGGAAAGTTCATCGGGAGTCCTAAACCTTGGGTATGAAATCAAATCCATTCCAGGACTCCAAGGAGATAGTAGGATGAAATTCCACACTCGTACGGCCGAGGAATCTGGGGAAACTTACCGAAGTTGCTCCCACATACGCAGGATCACTTGACATGTTCCCTGCCAACAGAAGGCCTTCCATCACCAACTGAAGATATGGTGATAGCCTTCACCGATGCCACAGCCGAATCTCCCCTTTTAACAATTTTCTCGAGCTCTTCAACCTTTTCTAACAGCAGTCTGGCACTCCCGTGGGTTGATTGGACCAACTTATTAGCCACTTCCAGAGAACTGCACAGCTGGAGATTTTGTGCTAAGTAAGAACATGAAATTGCAAAATTAACTGAAATAGCTAAAACACCCAAGTTCATGTGAACGGATTTTTGGAAAATAGGCTGATGGTGAAGAGATATAACAAGCACCAAGACGTTGGACATGAGAACGAAATTTACACTTTTCCTAGAGGGATCATTTTCATACAATAGAGAGATGTCTCAAATTACGTCAAGTCTCCTAAATATTTCATTTTGTCGAACCTGTATTGAATGGAAATCGGGAGTGCTATCCACATATAGCGGAGATAACAGAGGATGGTGCAGGAAAATGGTAAAGAAATATGCAATGAAGCATGCGTAGTTAGCCAGACCCACCTAATGCGCTCCACGCTAACATAAAAGGGATGGAAAAACAGAGAATTAACTTATGCTTACAGAAAAACTCCAGTATGGTTTTGCACCAACAAACTGAAAGCAGGCTAAGTGCTAATGCAGATCAATGTATCATAGCCAAGGAACATAACATTATCACCTTTAATGTTAGCGCAGTCCATGAGTGGTCTCCTCTTGCAAGCGCCTCATTCAAATTATCATAGTTTTCCTACATGATGACAAGTGGATTCATCAAATCAAATCATTTAAGTCAGCATCCAAACTAGCAAATACGAAAGGCAGAATGGCACAGTATAATTATGTTTGATTTGAAACATGGTTCCTGTAAGTTCACATCAAATCTAGGACATTGTTATAATAGGCTGATTCAGGCAAATATGATATAACAGGTATTCGGTCAGGCCAGATGATTTAAACTAGAAGTTGCAGTTAATGACTTCATGCCAAGTGCTCTGTCATTAAGATTCAAGACATGAACAGGATATCAAGCAAGTTTATGTAAAATGCAGGGACAAAGCAGAGGACAATAACAAGCAGATATTTAACTGACACAGCCTTTCATGTTCACCGAGTAAATTATGGGTGTCCCCTGCACTGCACGGTCTGGGAGGTGGTTGATGTACAAGGAACAAAGACGGTACTCAGAAACTCTAATGAGTTTGATTAGGACTGATAGAAAATTGTTTAAACCAAAATGCTAAGGGACTGTAAAACCCTCTCCTTTATCTATTTCCATGTAAGAAGCCTCATTCACATAAAATAGCAACGGAGGGGGTATAACCCAATCTGCGGTTAGAGCTCACATCTTATCGAGTCACGCACATCAGTGATTGCTATAACAATCCTGGACAAAAATCAACACTTTCTAAAGGGTTTCACAGCTGTAGTCGCGAACACGGAGAGACATGAATGTCGCTCGAGATACCACCCTAATCAATGGATGTAACTTAAGTTACCGCCATGACCACTTTCGAACTGCGTCTCACAATCCAATCGACGCACCGTCTCCGAAGCCCGCAAGATCCAAGCCCTATAACCAGCAATACAGAGCAAAAGACTTAAAAGAGTTTTCCTGAATCTACCGCGAAAAAAACCGCCCCGAAGATCACAGAACAAGCGAGAATTCCCACTTTTTTCATTCACATTCTTCAAGGTAACGGAGGTTAATCAGATAAAAAAATAACCCTCGATCACTCGAATTTCCCACTCTTCAACACGTCAAGATCATCAGCAAGTTCAAAGTGTCGATCCCATGCTCATCTGAGCATCTTCCTTTTCAAGTCCAAACCTCACCAATCGCCATAACCTAAAGGCCGCACAAACGACCGGCTCGGCGAAGAGAAAAGACTAGCGAGAATAATAGGGAAGAGCGAGAGATTCTTCGGCATGTTAGAGAAGAAACCTGGAAGAGCTTGGGGAGGTCCGAGGGCCGAGAGGCGGCGGTGCTTGATCCGAGCTCGGAGAGCGCCGGCGGCGGAGACGGCGGAAGAGGCTCCGGCGGAGCGACGTCTTCTCCGACGTCGCTGAGCAGATCTCCGATGCAGAGGAGCGGACCTCCCGTCGCGCGCATCATCTCCGACGATCTCTCTCTCTCTCTCTGTCTCCTCTTCCTTCGCAAAGCTTCGTGATTCAGCTCGGCCCGCGACTCTCCGGCCCATCGGGTCCTCCAAATGGGCGGGCCGACCCGGCCCAAGCCCCGTCCGAGTGGACTCTATAAAAGGGCTTCTCCTCTGCGCGTCGAGACGACCAGAGAACGTCCTGGAATCGTCGGTGGCTTCCCCCATGGCGTACGTTGAGCGAGGTAAGCAAAGCTATTCCCGAATCGGGGCTGTACGAACCGGGCGCTTTTGGCTTACGATCTTCCCCTTTTTTGGCTCGTGAATTTGGTTTCGATTCGATCGGGAATTGATGTCTGCAAATCGCGCGATGATGGCGATCGTGCGCTTTCGATTGACCCTGTTGAGGTGCTTGAAGGCGTCTGTTTGAATATGAATTTCGTGAATCGGTGAAAAAGTCGCTTCATTTTTTTTCTTCTTTTGGTGATTTGAGTTCATTCTGGAGGGGAAACGATGCGTTCGTTCCTGATTAAATCGGAGTCAACGGTTGAATTGACTTGGCTCTTTTGCAAAATTCCTTCATGAAAGATTGAGGCTGGCCACACATATGACATTTAAATCTATTCTGATGTGCTGATCGCCCGGCTTGGCCGGCTCGTGGTGTTTTGATCTTGCCTTCTGCAGCAAAATCGAGGTGTGATGGTTGACGGTTGTTTGGCTTTGCTCGTGTGGCGTGTTGTGTTCTTTGGAATCGAGTGTTTTTGTTAGGTTCAAACTATTTGATTCTGTTGAAGGTACCTGAAAGCCTCTGGTAATCTTGGTACCAGTGGCATATACCCAGGAAGTGCGCGATTCATTTTGCTACCCGGGTTGTCCCTCTTTGTCAAAATCTGTCTTTGGAGTTTGATCCGCGATTCTTTTGACTATATGCTGCCGACCAGCTCATTATAGTTTTTCCTCGACTCCTTCGGCCTGAAAATTGAATAATCAATCCACACCATGAGAATTGAGATTCTATTACGCCGTGTATTGCCGCATAAGCTGCTCATTCATTGTCTTGGTCCCTTTGGGCTCACCAATGAGAGCTATCACGCTTTCATGGATGCCCAGAGAAGGTGCTTCTGATGAGTGATGATTTGGTCTTATGCCACTGCATTGGAAACTGCTGTAAATGAGTTGTCGTGTAGGCATGCTTGACCTGAAGGAGTATGATTTAGGACAATTTTTCTTGTCGCCTGCATTATACATTCTTCTTGAGTTCTGAATTTCCTCTGTTAGCCCTTTGATTTCTATGCTGTCGAAATTTTGCATTTCAAGTTTCTGTATTTCTTGTCCAATCTCAGTGCAGTATGTTCGACTTACCCTCGATGCCACTGAGTTTTTGTCTGTTCATTAAATTTTCATGAATCTTAGTTGATCCTGAAAAATTGTAGTGATGATTAAGTTTCCCGAGCAGTGAGTCAAAGTACCCTCATCTATACTGAAGAATAAACTCTTAGAAGTTCAATATCTTTTAATAGATGCTTATAGGGATGCGAAATCTTCAGTAGTGACATTGAAAGATGGTGACATAAGACTTCCATTGGCATTTACTTGAGGGTCTTTTAAGTTGTTTTTTCATAAATTACTTGGTTTCAAAATAAAAGTACCATGTCTTGTCGTTCATGTGAGATCTATTGCATAATCTTTTATTCTGAGCCTTTCCTCTACATTGAAAGATGTTTCCTTTTGAGTTATGGTGTTTGGATCGGTTCATAACACCACAACTAAGAAATGCTTAACATGCTTAGTTCTATCACTTTTTGTGGATTTACAATCTTCTGTTATCTAAGCTTTCATTACTACATTTTTTGGGCCGCCTTTCTTTCCTGATTGTCATCAAGTTGCTCTATGACAATACTTTTTCCTTTTCCTGCCTGGGTTACACTGTTTGAAATCTGTAAGAATGGAAGGTAGAGTTAGATTAGGATGAAGAACTAATATATTTAGTTTGATGTATGATGGCAATTGTATTTTATGGATTTGCAGGTGTGGTGAAATCCAAGAAATCAATATGGCGACTTAGAACGATCACAGACTTATTCTGGGCTATTGTTAATTTCATAGGCGTGTTTTTCGCTACAATGTTTTCGGTAACGTGAACACTGTCTTGGTTGCTTCTTTTGAATTAGGCAGTAGCAACTTGTTATCGTCTTAATAATTTGCCTGTTCTTTCTATGTTGTGTGAATAGATGGAAAAGTCCGACACTTACAGGAAAGGCTCCTCCGGCTCTCGCAAGAAATGGGATGGTGGCGGCGGCCCGGGAGGTTCCGGAAGGGGTCCTTACGGTGGCGGTCCTCGTGGCCCACCACGCGGATTGGATAATGTCCGCGGAATTGACCACAGTGAGTTCGATACCATTCCTATGAGTGCTTATGATTGCTACTTTCAGAAGGTTTTCTTCAGTTTTATATTGATCTAGTAATTTGTCATTTGCGTAGGTTCATTGCCAGCCTGTGGTTCTTGCTGTGGTTGAGGGTACTAGCCTCCTGTCTACAGAAAGCATTGGAGTGTCTATGATGCCTATATTCAAAGCGACTAAGAGCTCAGTTTACTTTTGTGTATAATTTGGCATGACTCATGGATTGAATTAATGTCAGTAAGACATCTAAGAGGACAAGAGTTGGTACTTGGGAGATTATCTTGGTTATGTGAACATGATGATTCGAAAGATCGAGTCTTTGAGTGTTTCTAAGGATAGCACATAATCAGTATCTCATTAGTCATTTGGATATGCTGCTGTGCCAACTTTCGTCTTTTGTTCTGTTAGTTTCAAACGTACTCATCTTTAGGGAAGCATTTTGATAAGATGGTTTACCCTAACCATCTTCCATAGAGTTAATTAAACAGGCAGCTTCATCTATGACTAGCGATAACTTGTGAATGAACCGTGCTAGAAGTCACATCCCGATGTTCCGCTTGCAGAAAGTCTCTGTAATCCTTCACACACAACTTGATAATCATGTATGGGGTCACTCGATCTGCTCTCAGGTCTTCTCGACTTCATCCTAAATGTATGCATACTGTATCGTGCTACTACACATGACATGGAGAGAACGAATCTCGGGACTACTTCCTCAATATCGGCACTGCTGAATTCAAGGAAATAGAATACCAAGTGTTCCATGTTTCATCGCATGTTGGGTAAGATTTGGAGAAATGTCTCCCAAGCGAATTTCTGCTTTCACATAGTAGTACTTTCATTTGTAATAAACCAAGAAACCAAATTTTGATTGATTGATTGATTGACATTATTTGCCAAAGTGACCGGCTAAAACCAAACCAAGTTTGTCCGTTTAGAACACGACCCTTTCTAAAGTGAGAAATTTTCAGCTATTTTTCCATTGGGAAGGTCTAGTGAAGCAGTAGATAAATCAACTAGTTGTTTTATTCCGCATTGACTAAGTAAACACTAGATTTCATTTGAAGCTTGTGAAACAAGCCTGTCTGCTTGCGTTCGTTGTTTTCTATGCCGTGATTGTCGGTCTATCACGGTGACTTGGTCGCGAATTATACAGGACAAGTCGATGGTTGGAAAACACAAAGCAGAGGTCCCCACTCGAACCCCACATCACATGCGATATCATATAATGAGTCCAATTTACAAACAGAACGTACACAGACAATTAAAACTTTTCCACCAATTATGTGCATTCTCAAACAAATTCTTCTCCCTTTGTGCTAAGGTACTAGTATAACCTTCCCCTAGCGAGGGATATAGCATCACCACATCGTGTGCTGACGTTGCACGCATGTGCCTAGTCGGAGCCTGCCAAAAACTAACACGCATCAATTTAAAGTCGGACGAATTAGATAAAAACAAATTAAATGCATGTTAGGGTCGAGTTGCAAAAGAAAGCAAATTAATTGCACTGGCAGCTTTAATAATTGCCTTCAAAATTGAAATGGTCGCCAACTCCCTCCTATTCTACACTCTTTCACTCTATAAGAGAGGTAGAAAGCTCCGGTTCACGCCATAGTTGGTAGAGTCGTGTTCTCCACTCTTTTACGTTTAGAAAGTTTGTCCTTTCATAAGCTTTTTTCTCAATTCTTGTTTGTTTTTGAAGAAAAAATTTCCGTTAGAGAGGTGGAGGGGCGAAGAAGAAGAATTAAAGAAACAAAAAAGAATCCGGGGATAGTTAATGAAAGGACATAATTTCCAAACGTGAAAAAGTGAGAAAGGAGGACTCCACTAGGTGTTGTGCGAATCGGAGCATCCCTCGGATATTTTTTCCTTGACAAAGTTTCTTAACGTCAAAGGAGTGAAGAGAGCGGAGAAGACAATGACTTGGTAGCCATCTCAATTTTTTAGGGCATTCATTAAAGTTAACATACATTAAATTTGTTTTTATTTAATTTAATGGCCTTTAAATTGACACTGGTCAATTTTTGGTAGGTTTAGACTGGGCACATGCGTGAAGGTGGTGGTACAATACCCACTAGAAGTGTGCTATCTGTCAAAACCCTTACAAAGTTACCACTGAAATTCAGATCAAGATACCAGTTCAAATCTCTCGTTTGGAAAACTCTAAAGTGTATTTGGGGCTCGATCAGCTGGACTTGATTAGGTAAAATCACATTGACCCTCTGGGAAGAAAACTCATTTAAATCAAGTTGTTCATTCTGGCTTTAACATACGCATCTACACAAGAGAGCCACTCACTCGACATACATGTATGAAGATCATACGCGTTGGGGGGGAAAAAAGCGAAAGCAGCACGCACACCAGTGGAAAGGAGATCAACGAGGCACCAGAAGAAAATTGGAACCGCAAACCGACTTCAAAATTTTAAAGATGACGGATATCTCGAACAAGTCTGCCGGAGAGACACATGATAGATTAAATAAAACTAGACCTAAAGTAAAGAGCTAAGTCACTCTACAACCCCAAAAACCCAATTCCCTTTTTATTACGAAATTGCTAAAAAGTTCAAAGGAAGGAGAGGGAGGGAGAAAGGGCGAAGGGGGTCGGACAAGACGATTCCTAATATGTTTCAGCATGAAACCTGTATGCAGCTGTGTACACCAGTAAGCAAAACTTCCTGCGAAAAAAGGGTAAAAGATGAATGAATTTCCAATTGTTTATAGAAATTAAGAGGGATGGTGAAGATCAATGCATATATCTAGAGATTGGATTATCACATAAAAAAGAATTTATCCTCCGCATGCACGATCATCATCCGCCAAATACGAGGGATACGACATGCGAGAGCTCACGGCAAACAAACACGAGGGAAGCGATATGCGTTCTGGATAATTGACCAGCCAAGTACCTTCATCTAGAGCTCATCTTTGCCAGTGACTTTCTCTTCTTCGCCTGTGACTTTCTCTTCTATTTTATCACGGTTCTTCTCGATGAAATCTATTATACCTTCCTTTGTCCTATCGCCATCATACGGCACCACCTTCCCGCTTGCTGACCTAAAGTAAAGAGTTGGGTACCCCTTGACATCGAAGGTATCACTTGGGACATCATTTGCAGTCGCGTCCTGAAAAGGAAAGCATAATATTGGCACAGACATGGTTGTGAACCCAAATAACATTATTGCATAAGGGCGTGGCCTCTCTCTCTCTCTCTCTCTCTCTCTCTCTCTCTCTCTCTCTCACACACACACACACTTTAGCTAAACAAAACCCATCATAACCTTAATTAAATAATTAGAAAAGCAGAACCAAAAGATGGATGACAACAGATAAATTGTTAATGTATCACCTGAGACAGGGATATAGCCATCAAAATTTCATTAAGACCATATTTTTAACCCTTGGCGAGTCAGATGGAAAACAAAGAGAGAACATGAAGTAGCACTCTAGAAGCACACATGGAGGAGGATTAATGTATTAAACTATCTAGTGACATATCAAGCCAGCCAAAAAAGAAGTTGAAAAACAGTACTTCATATACCAGTACATGTACCTCACATGAAGCATACCCACTATGTTAGGATAACTCTTCGCCTTCGCCAAAGAGGGGAAAAAACACGGAAATATATTCAGTAGTTCACATTTCTAGCATTGTTCTTTGGAAAACTGCTGACTTTTATGTCATCTTGGTTTCTATAAATAGGTCTCCATGTTAATCATTTGCGCCTTTCTATTATTCAATCACGCATTTCGCTCCAAACCCAATCAGTATCAACCTCCACACCAAGAGTGCTACTATAGGTACTCAAACAATAAATAACAACATTACTCGGGCAATTTTGAAAAGGTTAGATCACTGTTGCTGCAATCAGGAAAATTATCAACCTACTTTGAGCGGGAAAACTTACAAACTTGGCAATTAGGACCTTAGCATCACTTTCGTAAGAAAGTGCAACTTCATCCAAAATAGGAGCCAATTTTTTGCAATGTCCACACCAAGGAGCATAAAACTCCAGAAGAACTGCACAAAAGGTTTCCAGCATGTTAGGTGGAAGTCTTACACTGAGTCAGTAATGCAATTGAACAGTACAGATCATATCATACTGAAAATAAAAGCAACCAAGCAACTTTCTCCTTTATCGTCCATTTTCCTCAACTACAAACGTATAATCAGGTGTAAGACGAAACAAAACCTTTCTGACACCGACTACAGACAGGAAGGCAATTTTTCAACAGAGAAAAGTACATGGAAAAGAATTAAAGACCGAGATCCCCATCATTTCTACTGTATGGAAGTACTTATTCTAGGATTGATGTAAAGCCTTTACACGCAGAAGACATGCACGAAAAAGCCAATAGATATCAAATGGATACAAAGAATATATCAATAAATAAAAGATCCCAAAGCTCAGTATACTTGCAGATGACACAAAACAACGAAAAGCATAATGCTACGTACCATTTTTGTCAGAGTTCAACACCACCTCCTGCAGGCTCTCAGCTACAACTACTTTCACAGGCTCGCTGTTATCTTGGGGTATGGGTTCAGACTTCCTGTACTGTGGGACCTTGCCTTCCTGCGATTAACATGACAACATTAGATCGCAACTCACAATGTGCTTTGGAATCTTTCAAAGGTTGAAAAGTTCTAATTTTCATGTTGTGTGAGACAGTGTGTGGACGTCTCCCACGTGTTGTGAGAGACAGAAGCAGGAGAGATAAATGTAACCTTGTACTCTTTCACCCAAGGAGCGATTTCATCAGGTTGCAGGTTTGGCTTCAAATACTTTTTCCCATCATTTGTCTGTACTACAATGAGAGGCACTTGGTCCTCCTTGAGTCCAAAATACTGTACGTAAACATTAAACATCAATTTTTTTTCTGCATGAGAATAACCATATGCACAGCATTAAATGAAGAACTCAAAAAGATCAGAAAAACGCTAACCTGGAAAGCACCTTGACCAGCTTCCAGATCTCCCATCAGAAAGCTGATGCCCTGTCCTTTAAATTGCTCAGCAACATCGCGGTATTTTGAGGTAAAAGATTCAGCCACTTCAGTGCTAAAATTCATGAACAACATTGCCTATGCAATGCGAATGGAGTTGTCAGATGTTATCCACGAAACCAAATGAGGAATAACAGACAAATCTGAACTATTCAAGAGCGATTCACTGAGTGGAAAAAAACTTGAAACTTAACAACTACAATGCCCTCAATTAAAAAATCAAGGACCAAATAACAATCTGCAAAGAACAGTCTCACAAATAAAATTAAAGACAAACACTTAAGAAGGTATATTGAGCTTTAAAAGAGAGAAGAAAAATCATTCAGGAGAAACGGTTTGCAAATTATTTGACCATTAAAAAGAATCTAAAACCAACCAAAGATAGTAACAACCGATGCTCTCGTGCAGGCAATGAATTAT